GGAGGGGGGGAGTTCTATGTCGGCCTCATATAGGACTAAGCCACGTAAACAGGGCAGTAACTATTGTTAAGAATATTTATTTTTTAAAAATTCTAGACAATGTTGACTGTCGTAAAACGACTGAATTCCTCGAGAGACATATTCTATGTAAAAATGCCTCAAATTACTGCAGCTTATATTTTATTTTCATGATGGTGATGATAACGATGATGGTGATGACGATGATGATGATAATGATGATGATGATGATGATGATGGTGATGTTCTTGTTCAGTACTGTAACAGATAAGCTGAAACTTACTCAAGGCAATAAAGCAGCAGAATTCGTGCCTCTGTCATTGACAAGTCCCGTAGCTCTCTCCGCATGGTGGCAGCATCTGAGACGTTGCTCAACTCTTGTTGCACCACGATATCGAACCTAGAGTAGAAGTATATGAAGACAAATCAATGATCGTTGGAATTATGTGAAAATAAATGGGGAAAAAACTGTAGCTCATTTTTCCAAATACCAATACGCGGAATAATACAAATAAATGTATCGGTAATGGGCGTGGAATGAATTAATTGCTCTTTTGTTTCTTTATGAGTAGATCTATTATGTTTTGCTAAACGTAAGAGGATTATTTAACAAAGTTTGCTTTAAACTTTTTTTCTTCGGATTTGTTGCTTTGTTTTGTTTTATTTTTCTTTGTTTGTATTTTTTTCAAGACCGGACCCTCCTCCAACAAGTCAACGATAAAGAATGTGGGACAGAAGGCTCACCACCATTCTATTATCATGGGTCATAGTGAAGGTTTAACGCCTCCTTCGCCATCTTAAGGTTATTTAAGAGGCTGGACCTTCGAGTTGAACGTGCCATCTTTGATAGGACCAAGCTAAATTGACGGAGAGCCTGAAAAACCCATCTTAACAATCCAAATTCCTAAAATTCCGTTGTGGATTCGGACCAGTCATCTGCCCCGTAGTTCAAGGTTATACTTATTGAGCTAACGGTTCGCCCCGCCTAGTCTATAGGTTGGGCAGTGCACTATTATTTTCCCCCAAGACCAACAAGAGAATGCAGATGACTGTATAAGAATACTTGCCAATGACATTGTTTGTACTCCCTGCTCAAATAGGTAACAACATTATACCTAAAGGGTTTATACTGTTGTTTATTTTGTTACGGATCACGTGAGAAAAATAACAACACTGTTCAACAGTGCTAACTCTCTACGAAAAGAACGCAGGGCCTAAGCAAAGAGCCAACATGTAAAACGATCTATAATGTGTGCCTTGAGAAATGAGCACGACCTTGATATAATATACTTTTTTATTCTATAAGTTTTGGTTGTGAGCTTTTATATATTTTTTTTTAAAGGTGAAAGGGAAGACGTTTAAAGATAGAATTTTGTTGTCAATGCTAGAAGAAAATCTTCAGGGGGCGCATTGTTTCTCCACACACAGATTCAGCGCCGCTCTAACTAACGGGTTTTTGTTTTGTTTTTTGCTTTTTAAAACCTCTATCCCCCTCCCAAAAAATGAATCGGTGCTTACATCCTACTTCGCACTCAATCTGTACAACCCGCCTTTCGGACGATCAGTCCCGAAATCAGAATTGCTCCCAGCTTTTTATTTCCTTCATTACTCTCTGAGCCGATTTCCCCTCGGGTAATCCTACACTCAACCTGAACCTCTTCTAACGGAACGGAACAGTTACCGCCCCTGTTTTTTTATCAACCAGCAGACGATCTGACGATACAGTCGGGAGATCTGACGTCAACGTCTTGTCGGGAAAGCTTTTACTTAATCCCACCGCCCCTACAAATACACACATTTGGGGGAAAAGGCAGGGGGGCTGGTTTTAGACAGTGTGGTGTTCTACAACCCCTTTTAACATAGCGTATTAAAGGGACGCTCCTCCTGATTTATCTATTTCCGGAAAGATGGAGCCAATTGGACTGAGCGCCTTCAGAAGTTCTAAATGTTCAAGAATCTCAAGCTGGGAATTTGATTCGAGATCTCTCATACCGCAACGCAACATGATACCGACTGACCTAAACTTTAAAAAGTAACACTTTTACAGTTGCTACTTGGTTTTTAAGTCATACAAAAGGCAGATCACTCGATACAACCCCGTCAAGTTACCAATTTTAAAAGGGGGCGATTAGAAAGGAGAAGAATATAAATTGTCCAAAATAACATGTACATTCGAAACCCATTTACTTGAGGTAGATAATGTTAATTAACAACAGTGCCATGCCTGCTATCCAGAAAAATATGTCGCTTTTTAACGTAGATGCGTTAGGACCTCATCGACACAATTTTGGTTGTTTAAGAGGCTAGTTTCGACTTTGCCTTAATTTGCCAACTCGGGCTGGGAGGCATGCAACGTCCTAGCAGAAAGGCTGAGAAACTCGAAAAAAATTATCACCACCCGGGTATCAAACTCGGGTCATTTACGTGCGATGGCAAAGTGCCTGACCGTTATACCACAAATGTCGGTTAACCAAAAGTGACGACCAGCCACCCAGCAAATGTGTAAAAGAGCCAGGAAGGTTCGTGTCAACACAAGTATTGGCGGACACGCCAAAGTGGTTTGTTCCTTTAGCTCCTTTCCAGTGCTCCTATTATCCTGTCATGTTTTATTAGAGGCGAGAGGTCCTCTGACGTTTGAAACGTCATTTTCATGAGCGTGAATGTTTTATGCGCCTAAGTGTATTTTTAAAAAAAAATTTGTTCCGAAGCAACGTTTGTGCTATATTTTTTCCATACTGTGTTGCCTTGCTCACATATGGCGCGAGTTCAAAATTTCCAGAGATGTGTTACAAAGTATGTCATGGTTTCTTATAGATGTAGTATCCCGCTCACCACTGCTTGCTTTGAGAGACAAAGTCTGATGGGGCCCCCTATATGTGAACTGTATTTACCAATATTAAACGTAGATTCTTGCTCTTTGAGGTAGCCCCCAAAAAGGTGCTCTGCGTCAATTTTGATCTTCACTTAAAACTTCTGCCTTGGCAAGAAGTTTTCTTGAAGAAATAAGGTGTTTTCAAAGTTTTACCGATTTTAAAATGTTTATGAGTGGTTTGAACGGTGTTCGGGTTGAATGAAAAACTGAACAAAACTCATATTCCTTTATTGTTACTTTTTCCTTCCTCTGGTATCCTTATGATGTCTAGGGTTAGGTACGGGTTCGGTTCTGTGCTAATTGTGTGGCGTCTGTTGTAGACAATATTATGTTGTTCCAGGACATTTTTAAACCTATTCCAGCCAGGCCCATCTCGGTCTTCCTCTTGATTTGAAACCAGATTCACAGGTGTGGTAAGCTCTTGCTGCTATGCCCCCCCCCCTTCCATCGACCAACACGATTCAGGTGTGTACTACTTGTACTAATTGCTATAAGCCTTTGAACATATAATTTGGGGGAAAAAACTTTGTATTGTAACCATGTACGCTATGATTGTAACACAATGACATATTAGGTACTAGGCAACAGGTTGCTACTGTCTTAAAGACAATGGGACTGAGAGTGGACAAGTTTTTGTATAAACATGTATAATAACAATTATATAATATATACTTGTATATATA